ATACGCCATAATATTACTCATTCAGCTTTGGACGATTTGCTAATACAATTATCCAAATGTACTCAGTTTTCTCACTTACCTAAAGACTCTCGGACTTTATTGAAAACACCAACCACTCCTTCAGTAATAAAAAATATTAAAGGTGGTATATATCATCATTTTGGAATTCATAGAGAAATTGAACTATTAGCTAAACATTACCAAAACTTGCCTACTACATTATTATTGAAGGTAGGAATAGATGGACTCCCAGTCACCAAAAATCCACCAAGCCAAATGTGGCCAATACTTGGGTATTTTTCTAATTTACCAATTAAAAACCATAATATTTTTATTATTGGTGCTTATCATGGTAAACCCAAACCAGACGATTGTAATGAGTTTTTAGAGGATTTTGTGAATGAACTAAATGAACTTATAAATGTTGGGGCAATGTATAATAATAAACATGTGAAGATACTACTTGAAGCTTTGATTTGTGATACTCCTGCCAAGTCATTTATATTAAATGTGAAAGGTCATACAGCTAAAAATTCTTGTGTTAGATGTCTAACTGTCGGTGAATATGAAAACAATCGTGTATATTTTCCCCATTTAAATTCTGATCTTAGAACACATGATAGTTTTATATCATATTCTGATTCTACATTTCATTCAGGAACTACTATACTGACTAAAGTTCCTCAATTTGATCTTATCAATAGCATCCCATTTGATTATATGCATTGTGTTTGCATTGGAATCATGAAAAAGCTGTTAATGTTTTGGAATGGAGGGGTTAAACGGCACAAGTTGACCCTTCCTAATAATTTGATATCAGCTTTGGATAAAAAGTTGAATGACATTGGTCAATATATAACTGTAGAATTCCAGAGAGCACCAAATGTTAATAGTCGACAACATCCTATCAGAGATGCCAGTCGTTGGAAGGCTACAGAATTAAGGCAAATTCTTTTATATACTGGTATTGTGGTTTTTCGGGATATTGTTAGCAAAGAAGTATATGAACATTTCTTAGAATTATGTGTTGCTATTAGACTACTTTCAACAAATAATATTTCGTCCGACATTAACAATTATGCAAAATCACTTTTAAATCATTTTGTAGTATCGTTTGCTAATATTTATGGTAAATCATATATGTCGCATAACGTTCACATTATTCAACATTTAGCAGATGATGTTAAAAAGTATGGATCATTAAATAACTTTTCAGCATTTGAATTTGAAAGTTATATGCAACCAATGAAAAAAAAAATTAGAACTGGTGTTAAACCATTACAACAATTGATACGGCGATATTCTGAAGATAGAATTTTCTCCTCAAAGAAAGAAGAACTAAACAAACATATTGGGCCTCTCAACGTCCAATGCAAATTTAAAATTAGACCGATTACCATAGATGGATGTGAACCATATTATGCAGGATGGAGAACTGACAAATTTGTATTAAAAATAAATAAAGCAGACAATTGTGTTAGAATGATAAATGGTGATATAGTTATTATTGAAAATATTGTAACATCAAAATTCAATGAAAACATATTGATAATTGGGCGAAAATTTGAGAAACTTGAAAATTTTTTTAATACTCCTTGTCTTTCAAAATTATTAAACATAATAGCTGCGTCAGAATTAAGTCACCTTCAGTCCTGGATGCTAAATAATATTAAGGACAAAATGATGCATTTACCAGTTGATAATAAAGTATCAATAATTATACCTTTATTGCATTTGCAGTAAAGTGTATTCATCTTATGTATATATGTATAAAGTTTATAGATGTAAATATTATTTAATGAAAATAATAATGATGGTAATAATAGGAAGTTTTTTTAAACAATATTATATTTATGCTAATTAAATTGTTGGTTTTAATATTTAGGTCATCTTGGTCTGTTGTGCTCTTTACTTCTACCAACGAAGTTCAGCATGTTCCGGATAATTGGTTGGTTGATACTGATAAGTGTTGGTTTCCTTACTTAAAAGCAGATTGTAAAGAGAAATTTCTTTCTGCGGCTCAAATAAGCAAAATGATTAAAAAGTGCAGTGCAGTCCAAAATAATGAAGATGGCACTATACACCAAATTACAAAAATTGCTGGACCATTTTGTAAGTAAAATAAATAAAATTAGTAAATTAGTAAAATATAAATTATGACATTTTTAAATATTTTTCTAATCAGATAAAGAAAAACTGGCTAGGAGTACAAGTAAAGTTTGGTCAGAAAAGTCAGCTTCTGAAAGCGAAGAAGACATATCACCCAAAAAAAAAAAATGTATGTCAAGTGTTAATAATGATATTACTTTAGAACTTCCAAAGATACCAATGTTTCCGTTGTTAAATTCCAACACAAGTAAGTATTATAACAATAATATTTGTTAATTGCACCAAGGTTAAAAAATGTATATTATTTTATATTTATTAAAGCTGAGTCAAATATCATAAATAATGGAACATGTGAAATATCTGCCATAACAAGTGCGAATGATAACTGCAGTATTGTTACAAAAAAACATTCAATAAATGATTCACTTGAAATGCCATGTGCAACCATCTCAAATACTACAGGTTTGTTATTATCATGCAATGTAGTTTTTATGTAATTATTTTGGTAAGTACTTTGCTTAACAAATTATAACTTTTAACTTTAATAGGTAAAAATATGATTTCAAATAATAATTTGGATGTAAGTGAAATAACAATGTAGTTTTTATGTAATTATTTTGGTAAGTACTTTGCTTAACAAATTATAACTTTTAACTTTAATAGGTAAAAATATGATTTCAAATAATAATTTGGATGTAAGTGAAATAACAATGAACGCTAATGATGATATAGAAGAACTCACTGAGTTTATTAATGCAGCCACTGATACAGATTTTTTAGTTGAAGATATTGACTTTACTGCTTCTCCTACTACAACTGCTGGTGTCCTTAGTGATTCTTTAGAAACAAAAAAAGGTTTGCATTTATATTTTTATTTTTACATTTAGATAATTTATTTATTTGACAATTTTGAAATATTTATTTTTATTTTAGACTGCAGTTGTGATAATTCAAAATTAATAAGTATTATTGAAAAAAATAATAAATATTACAAATCTGCTCTTAAGGAAATGTTACTTCAAATGATTTTATTGACTAATTCAAATGCTCGACTCTGTAAAGGATTTGAAAATATGGACAATAAATTACAGGCAATGATGAAATCAGATTCTAGAGTAAGGGCACTGGCTCTTCCAAATCCAATAATTCCAACAGTGTTCCTTAGCATTTTGCCAGTCAAATCATTAGAAGAATTAGATATAGCTGAAGCGCTTTTGTCAGTTGAAAACACTGAGTATTTGTTACATAAAGAAAATTTAGTAAGATCATGAATTGATTATTTTAAACCCTTACTTTAAATAACTTTATTAATCAAAAAAATCAATGTTTGTTACAGAAAAGTTATATTCTTATGAAAGTAGGATCACTCAATTTAAGTTCTGCAATTAGGGAAGCTGTAAACTTATGTTTTGATTATCCGATATTGGGTCACTTTAGTTATAAGGGAAAAACAAAACGGAAATTTATTGACTTAGAGCTATTTTCTGTTATATATGGTAAATTCTATAGTTATATATAGTTATTATAATATATAAATAAACCTAAGTAATTTAATTAATTTTGACTAATTTAGAATCACTGTCCGGCTATCTCGATACACCTTTGAACCAAAAAAAATTTACAACAGTGCTGGACAACTATTTGAGGCATGCACCTAAAGTGATTGCTCATGAATGATTCTATTTTTAAAATAATAATTTATACTGAATATGTTAAGGTATGACTATTCAGGTTTAAACAGTTATTGTTTTTATTTTATTTTTATTATGCTTATATCCTTTAATATGTATATTAAATGAACCAGAATTTTAGTTTTTTGTTATTAATAAAAGTATGATTTTATAATACTCGATTGTATTATTTTGATTTAGACATAATCTATATAGAATACTCTATTAAAGATCAATGGTACCAGGCACATCTACAGGATTTTATTTTTATTTTTGTGGGCGGAGAGTTAAAGAAGCGAGGACTTATGAGTTTGAATTAGTGTTTACATACGTAAAAGATGTTAATAAAGATTAACAATTGTCATAAAAAAAAAAAATGTTTAAACTTAAATTAATAACAAGAAGTGTCTTTTTGGGCAGATGTATAGGGATAGCAAGATTTCAAGTGTGTACAGGTACCTATATATAATATATAAAGTTAATAAATTAAACTTATTTAGTAAGAATTGTATAGTTATTTCTAAGTCATTCGTATGAAAAATTAAGAGTTATATAATTACACCTAGGGATGGTTGTTGATTACACCAAAACACGAAAAATGCACCGTTATAAAATGATACATAAAACAGTAATTTAACCGACAAATACACTATCATTGCACAATTAATTATGGATATTTTTGGTGCAGTAATACTGTTATTGAACCCAACATTGAACTCTCAGTGCACTATTAATGTGTATACTAATTTTTGCAATAACACGATTATTGAACCGACGGTTGCACTCAAAAACCACAGTGCAACCCATGTAAAAATTCGGTATTCAAAATGACCAAAAACACAGTGCAGTGAACCGGAAATTCACCGTGCATTGAACCATAGAATTACTGATTGGTGAACATATTTGCAGCACCGAAATTGCTACTCGGGTATGTTGTAAAACATTACACACAACGTTATAAGCACATATTTTAATTTAAATAAGATTAATAATTTTTAAATGCACTGAACAAATGTACCTTTACTAATCATTGAAGTTTCTGTTATTTTTTTTTTTTTTTGGCTGAAAATAAATAGAAAAAGTAAATTTAACTAAAAAATATATCTAAAAACAGTTTTAATAACTCATAAATATAAATTAAAAAATACATTATATTTTATTTGAAATTGTTTGACCAATAAAATAACATAATTTATATGCAATTTTAAAGCTAGTTATGAATTATACAGGATGTATTACATAATGTACAAATGTATGCACATTTTTCTGAAGATTGCAGAACTCATCTGAATCTGATTCCAAAACTTTAGCAGCAGTATATTTTCTTTTTATTTTTGATACATCAATATCAGTGCTATCCAAATCTGTTTGGTTTTCGGCTTTCTTTAATTTTTTCTTTGCGGCTAGGAAATCATCTATATAAACAAACAATTGATAAAGTATATATTTCTCAGTAAATGAGGGTTTGAATATAAAATATTGAAATACGAACCACAAGACGCAAGAATTCTTTTTAAATTAAAAGTATTCCAATTATCCTTAGGTTCAACCATTTTTGTACAAAACTTTTCATATCTTATATTGTTAGTGGTGAGTGGAGGAAATTTTGTAGCACTGCCATTGCTTATCAACCAATTCCTTGGAATAATTTGAATCCCCTCATCATCAAACTCCACAACAACATATTTGTTGTAACTATATTTCATCATTCCACTATAAATTTGATTTTAAGTTATAGAATGTACATAAATTAAAACTAAGGGAATAATTATCTATATAATATCTATAACTATATATAAAATAGAATAACATATTTTTCTACTGTAAATTATATAATCATTATAAGCATATTTAAAAACACAATTATATTTAACTGTATACATTCAGTTACAAATATTAAATATATTAACTATGAATAGTACAAATTTATAAAACTTAATATATAAAACTATTTTCAAATGGTGTATATGTATGTACAAAAAATATGTATTAAAATGAAACTTATATTAAAGGCCTCTCATCTTGTTCAGTATGAAGCATTGGAAAAGCAAAATACTTTTTTTGATACATATATAGAAAATACTTTGCTTTGATCTCATGGATTGACCAGCATATTTGTACAACTGCCATATCCTGAATGTCCTTTTATGTTTAACAAAAAAGCTTTTGCAGGACTATCTGCTGATATTGCTGAAATAGTACACGCATAATGCATAGTTTCAAATGTTATACCATTTTCAACCAAGAGCTTAGCTTCCACAACAAAATCTTTAAGGTATTCCATACTATCAGCTGGTTTTGTATCTCCGTGGTATATTCCAATTATAAAAACATCATTATAGCCTAATACAGATCCGAGTATAGGCCATAACTGACTTTGAGACGAATTTGATATTGGTAGTCCATCGACATTTATCACTAGTTCAATAGTTGGTTCAGTAAAGGGTGCATTTCTTTTTAAAAATTGTTGGACTCCTAATTTAATTACCCTGTGCCAATAATGACCTGGGTTAACATTTCTAATCATTGTAAACTTGGGAGTATGAAGAACAGTTCTAGAATCCTTAGGGAGAAAATCAAGACTTTGGTGTGTTCTAAGAATCTTTAGTAATTTTGTGAAAGAAGTATGAGATATGTTCTCTTCGACTTTCCAACGAGATATATTATTGACAAAATTTATTTCAAAATTGTCATTAGTTTGAGATACACTAGTTTGAGATGCTAAAGTTTCCCTGAAAATATCTTCATGATATGGGATACTATGGTTTATTTCTAATTTTGTTTTACTGAATTCATTCATTGAAGTATCTACTGAAATTTCATGAAACGATGAAGTAGAATTACTAAATTCTGTAGAATGTACATTTGGAGAAACTTCATGTTCTGAATCAAATGATTCGTCAACAATAGCAATGGTATCAGTAGATATATTTTGAGTTACTTCAACCTTTATTTCAGTTTTTTTATTGTTATTTTGGTGAATATAATTACAAGGTTTAATAGTAACATTTATACCAGAAGAATAATCATATTGTGATTTCAATTGATTATTTTTATTTAGTTGTTCAATTTTTAATTTTAAGCGATTTCGAATTTGTCTTTTTGACAAATCAAGAAGTGATTTTTTTGACCGTAAATTATTTCTGAAATTAATAAAAGAATATAAAAGAGTATTTTATTTAGTTGAATTATATTTCAAAGAAAAAATATATGATTTGGCAATTGAGTAGGGCCCCAGTTATGTTTAAAGATAATATTGATATAATAGCTAGGTACCTATACCTATCTAGTATCTACACATTAGTATATAAAAAACAAAAAAAAAATTCCAAAATATACGATTTTATATTTTTAAGATGATAGGTATTATTGTCTGATGTAATTATATAGTTTATCATGGATCTACTTCAAATTGTATTTCCTAGTCACCTTATTTATTAATTAAATTTATACCTACAAAGGCTATAACTTAAATAGAAAAAAGTTACAAAATAAATCTTTTTTAAGCAGTTATAGGGATCTTGGAAGTGTATACAGTATTTTATATAAATTAATTTATTAGTAAATTATGTTATCAAATGTTGACATTATTTGTAATATTACTAAAATAATAGCGATATATTAAATTATTATAAAATGCTACTGTATAGACTTCTGTCTATGCTATACTATAGTACCTATATACCATACATTATTATAACATATAATACTGCATAGTAATACTGCAGACTATACGAACAATTCATATAGTATGTGGTAATACTTATGTTTCATTTTAATATTCACAGTATATGTACATTTGAACTTTTATTATTTACCTTATTATATAATTATATTATAATAGGTATTAAAAATTAAAATAATGAATACAATAAATTAAGAACAGCTGTGTTATGACTTATCAACTTATTTATAGGTACAATCAAATTATAACAGTTCATTAATTAGAGAATTATTATTTAACACTGTTAAGGTCAACACACACTGGAGCGGTGGCGGTAAATACTAAATTCCGAGGGGTAAATACCTGACAGAAAGTTTGTACACCAGATTACTGATTTCGATGATTATACCTATGATTACCCATGATTTACTACAAAGATTACCTATGATTACCCATGATTACCATCACCTTATGTACACTGATTACCCCCAAGGTGTTTACCCCTCGCTAGCTAAATTCTATTCTCTTGGCTTTACCACGGCGGTGAGCGGTGAAATGTGTCCAGCGTTAATTTAACGCCACCGCTCCAGTGTGTTGCGACCTTTATTGTCATGGACGCTTAACAGCTGAAAAATTCTACAAACTAAATAATGTGTATCCCTTTCATTAAAACAAATATTACTCAACAATAATAGATTAATCTCAATTAATTAATATCGTCAGTAATGAGTGGTTGGTTGTTTCAACGTTCATAATATAATTATTGAACTCTAAATGAAAAACTCTACAAGAAATGTATGCACGTAGGTATACCTGTTGTGGTCTTCCATCGTAAATTCGTTGAACCGTCCGAATAATAATAATAATTATAATTATATTAAGCTAACTTATAAAATATAAATTATAATGGTAATGGTTATAACTTGGCGGATTCGCGATCGCGACTCAGTACTCACGTGGTCACCACGTTCGTGAAATATCTAATTTAAGTAAATGATAAATAAAATAATAATAAATGATAGTCGTACTATCATTATCGCTACGGGATATCTTACAGATAGCATTTCGTTCAAAACTTGATAATACAAATGTCATATTTTAAGATATCATTTGGCCGTTCTAAAGATGTCCTGTTTTGTACTTTCTATTTTAATTTTAACTCGATATCCTTTAGGGATCTACAAGATGCCTTAGAGATATCCACAAACATGATTAAAATAAGATATGAAACGGCTTTACACTTTTTAATCCCTCGTCAAAAATTGTTATTAGGGAATAACAATGTAGTTATGATCGAACATGCTAGAAGTATACTTAGGGGCTACTCTACAATATTAAAGTCATGACTGCAATAAAAGGCAAAACAATGTAAAAATACCCAATTTACTATCGAGTAAACAAAAATTAAGACAAATTAAAAATGAATATTATTATCCTCGTATTAATTTTATGAGTGTTCTGGTTCGTAAAATTGTTTATTTTGATTTTCGAGCACTGCTCCACAGTGAAGAGGTACCTAGAAAAGAATACTGAATAGCATTTTTCGATCTCTATATTTTTGGTAGTATACCTATGTATAGTAATTTGCGCATTGCGCCCATAGTATCTAACTATCCAAGAGACCTTACATTATCATTATTTATACTGTTGTACATTGTATTGGTGTAAAAACGAATGTTTTATTATTTATAATCAACAGTCGTTTCTAATAATATTAATAATATATGATATGTATTATAAATTATAATATTGCGTATTAGCAATTAAAACGCCTTATTTTACATTTTCTACATAACCTATACAATATTATAAATTGTTGATTAGTTTTATGCAAAGACTTTATTATATTAATATACGAAACAGTGTACTCAAGTTCTAAGTAACTGAGACTGTTTCAAAAAAGAATATACGCCGCTTGCGCACATCGCAACTGACGAGCAACGGCAGTTCCGAGCTCAATTTCTCCCACTCTCGCGCTCTCGATCATGCATGATGGTCACCGATCGAAACTGTCGGCCAAGTTTACACCGGGTTCAAATATATTGTTTACAACAGCTATCGCGTGGCGGCAAGAGTAAATACGATGTATATTATTATAGTTTTGATAATTTGAACCAGCTGTATATAGTCAGTGGCACTCAGTCCACAACGAGCTGACTGTACAGCAGTCGTGCGTTCGTTGCAAACCGGCGGTACATGGTGGGGGATGCGCGCTAGCGAACGCAACCAGTCACGAAAGTGGTATATTATTATACCTACTATATTATAATTATCTTTTTTTTGTGATGTTTGAGTTTTCGGTATCCGAGATTATTAATAGATATTCGTTTTATCATGTTTTAAATGTTTACAATACATAGGTACTGGCTATAATATAGCGACTGATGGTTAATAGTGTTAGATTTTTTGACATTTCATCCGTTTGCATCGTGTCGTCATGTAGACACTAGACTTGAACGCCGGAATCGCTTGAGTTGTATTGAACACCGATTTCGTTTGTGGTTGTTACTTGTTTTCCAGTTTCCGTCTATCCAGTTACCAGTATATGTAATCCAGTGTATAATATATAACGTAAGTATTTAATATAATTATTATTTATTACTAGTCGTTATTTTATTCATAATATTAGTCGTTTACAATCACTCGATCCGTCCAATTATAACATTAATAATAGGTATATCCTATATCTATTCAATTCATTGTTTCGGGAGAAGTGGTCGGCTTGCTTCATATTATGAATAAGTGCAATAAAAGTTAGGTAAGTATTAAAAAAATCTAGGTAGTTATGGACACCTTAATAAATCATAACCTACCACCACATGCTGATGTATCTTCAACAGTATTCAACTTTCTTACATACCTATTTATTTTTATTTTGAAGCTTATATATTTATTGTTCCATCAAACAACATGTAGATGCATATATTTTGAACCAAAATTAATAAACAATTTTTATGAGTTAAAATCGTTAATTATTAATTATTTTATATTAGGTAGGTACCTACCTATTCTTTTATTTGATTAAAACTAATTGTGAATAAT